AGGAGGGGGAGGGCGGGGCCCACACACAGTGGCAGCCCCTTACTTTATGAGAGTTACTCTTCCTCTTCCAGTCAGGGGCCCGCCTGCCCCAGGAGGGACCTGCTGGGTGGAGGTGCTGCCCACCATGGTCCACTCTGCTCAGATGTGTCTCCAGCACCCTCACCCTACCTCCTCCTTCCCCTGTCCCTGGTTTTGGGGTCCCTCCCCCATGAATCGAGCGAGGCACCCCACTTCTCAGAATGTGCCTCACCCAAGGCAGGAAGTTCTCGCTGTCATTTTTAGAAAAATCAGAGGGTGCCCTGGCCAGGTGGCTCAGCTGGTTGGAGCATCATCCCGTGCACCAAAAGGTGGCGACTTTGATTCCGGGTCAGGGCACATACCCAGGTTGCAGGTTCAAGCCCTGGTTGGGGCATTTACAGGAGGCTGATAGATGTTTCTCTCTCACATCGATGTTTCTCTCCTCTCTCCCTTCCTCTCTCTAAAATCAAAAAAACATTCTCTGGTGAGGATTGAAAACGAACAAAAATAAAGAACACTTTAAAAAAAAGAAAAAGCAAGGGGATTGCAAGAAGGGAACATGGGGTGATCAATCTTGATGATAATCTCTGAGCTAAAAACAGTTGTCTGGGCTGAGGACAGGCCTGGCAAGCCCTGGAGGTTCAGGAATGTATCCCCTGGCGGCCAGGCCAGGAGGTGCTTGCTGGCTGCAGGTTTGGCCAACTCCCTCTCTGGGCGCCTGTGCCCGGCTGTTGCTGCCCTCTGCTGGCGAAGGGCTTGCTTGCGCACTCCCCTTCCCCCAAATAGGCTAGCTCTTCAGTTGGCCAGTTCAGCTCTGTGGCCTGGAGGACCACGACCACACAGTCACACACAAGCACTCACACACACCACACTTGCTCCGTCCCATGGTTGTGTTTTGACTTTAAAAAGCTGTTTCTTCTTGCAGCCATAAAGTTGCCATACTAACCATGGGCCAGACCTTCTACCTCTGGTTCATAAGTCTCTTCTGCGAGGCAGGTGGCTGGTCAGGTTCCTCAGATCCTTAGAGAAGTGGGAGGTGTGGGGCAGGGTGTCCGAGGTTGGGAAATGTGCAGGTCTAGGTTCAGCAATATCCAAGATCCCGGGTGCAGCTTCAAGGGGGTGTGCCTCGGAGGGGCTGGTGGGCCGGTTCCTGGCCTTGCCCAGGGTGCCCGAGGACCCAGGGGGCTGTCTAAGGCCCTGGGGTGGGGGGAGAAGCCTCTGCCTCCCCCAGAGCGGCCCTTCTGCGGCTTGGCTTCTCAAGTCATCCTTGCCCCATGCGTCTCCCGCCCTGACAGCAGGCTCAGAACATTGCTGAGGACATTTGTCAGCCGCTGAAGGGCTTCTAAACTAATAATTGCTGTATTAAAATCACATTTGGTCCTCAAGCTGGAGGAACATTGGGAGATTTTAAATGTTAAGAGAAAAGGAGAGAAAAAAATCTTCTCTCAAAGGATAAAATCAGCCTCGAAATAAGTTGCTGCAACTGAGGACTATGATGTATTGCTCTGCGACTCCAGAGCCCGAGCCTCCCCGGGAAACGGACACTCCACGCCTCGTCTCGGCCATGCTGGGGCTGGTGTGTGAAGTCCCCCGGCCTTCAGTATTGATTCCACCAGCCAGGGGCCGTGCAGGCGGAGGACACATGGGTCTAGAGCCCTTGAGTCATTTTTAGAATGGATTTTACATGTGATTTTTTTCTCCAGAAAATAACCTTGTGCTTTCCTGCCTGGATGGCCTCAGATGGCCACAACCCACCACCTCAGGAGAAACATCAAAATTCTGCCCATTACCACCCAAGTGGCTTTAAATGGTTTTCAGGTCCTCTCGTCTCTAGATTAAAAAGTGCTCTCTTGGGCATCGCAAAGACATTGATGGTACTTGTACCACCTTCTGGCTCCAAGGGGCTTGCAAGTGGATGGCAGAGCTTCAGAGGAGAAGGCAGGCCAGCAGCCACCCTGCTTTTGAACCTGCAGCCTGCAGTCTTCTGTCCTACAAGCTGTTTCTTAACTGTCTCCCCCCCAGACTGCCTCCTCCTCTGGACTTATTGGGAGGTGGTCCCCAAGGCTTCTACACTGGCAGTCTCAGGCAACTCCCTCCTCCCTGCAGGTGCCTCTGATGGGCATGGCCGGGTGCCCTCTCTGTCCCCTCCATGATGCCCCAGCACAGTGTGGGGGGCATGAAACTGGACCAGCCTTCGCAGCACCCTGCCTCTCCCCAAGCAGTCCTCCCTCTTCCCTGTGGCTCCCTGCACACACATGCCCCAAAAGGCCTTCCTCACCCGGCCCAAGCCAACACCCCTCCCCCTCAGGCCCCACCACCACCACCTCCACCACCGCCATCTCAGCGACAGCAGTCTCTCTCCTAACCTTTCAAACTAGGACCCATTCTCAACATAACTTCCCCCTACGAGTCCCCCTGTGACACTCATTATACTTTTAGAATCTGATGATTGAGAAAATAGGTGATGATAAAACCTACTGAGAAAGCAACAATGCCTTTAAATGAATTTCTGTGTCAGTAATCACCAAAGCGTTTGCATACACTTGAGAACTGATCGTGCTCTGTGGGCGCTGGAGTCTGCAGAGAATGCTGGTGGTGGTGTGGCTCTGGATAAGGTCACCCGGGGCACTGATAGCCCACCTGCCCAGTGCCTGGCTGAGCCATCGATGCTGCCCCTGGCTGTGGCATCCTCTCAGCCCAGCCGGTCAAGTTCCTGGAAGGTTCCCATTTCTGACTTAGCCACCGAGGTACACCGTGTGGAGAGGGCCTCAGGCAGGACTCCGGCCTGAGAGCCTGACTTGGGTCTCAGGACCCAGAGGAAGACTGTACCGTGAGGCAGACCAGGCAGGAGCCTGAGGAAGTCCCAGCCCCAGTGCTCAGGAGCTCCGGACCCTGGGGAAGCCCTGCCCTCTCTTAGGAAGCAGACAGGTGATTGTAAAGCCAGTGGTCCACAGGAGAGGCTCAGACGGATCGGCTATTATTAGGTAGATTTCTTTCTGCCATGAAATGTCTGAGTGTCTGACTCAAGTGAGGTGGCCTTCAACTTAAGGAGCCGGTGCTGGGCATCTCGTGGTGAGCTGGTGGCAGACCAGGCTGTGCTGCAGAGCAGCCAACCCCATCTCAGAGCCTGACATGAACAGTGTATTTCTCTGTCCTGCTGCATGTGCAACATCGGCAGCCGCTCAAGAAGCTGTGCTTCCCCGTGGCTATGGCCAGGGAAGCAGTCATGGGAACTGCCTGCTGCGAGCGCTCCTGCCCGAAGTGACCTGCCACTGCCACCCACGCTGGCTCAGGTGGAGCGAGGCATGTGGCCACACTTACCTTCAAAGAGTGAGGGTGTGCAATCCACCATGTTCCCGCGGGGTCGCCAGGACATCCGTGAGCAGCCCTCCGGTGACAGCAGCCAGCCGCCTGGTTCTGGAGCTGACGCTTTGATAAGATGCAGTCCATGACTAAGTTAGCCCAGGTGTAAACCCTGACGAGTTTGATTTGTGGTTTCGCCTGCCACCGTCCCTAAAGCGGGGGTGGCGAGTTTGAGGCAGACACAAAACCTTCAGCGATGTCTAATGAGCTCGGGTTTGGCATGTGGGTGGGGGTTATGCACACACAGGCTCTCAGGAAGTGCAGCGCGCCGGCCGGTAGCGACAAACGCGACACACTTACCCCCTCAGCATGAGGGTGGCGTCGGTCCTTGTGTCATCCCTGCCATTGTCATCCGTGCCCACTCTGGCAGCAAACACAACCACAGGCCCTGCAGTCCAGGACCCTCGGTTCAGACAAGGGAGGGCCTTGCAGCCCAGTGCAGGCCGGCGGCCACTCAGGCCTGCGCTCTGCTGGCAGACAGCCCAGGGCCTCAGCGGCTGGGCCCCACCAAAGAAATTAGCCCTTGAATGTCCTGGAGTCAGGCCCCAACAGCAGGGACTCTGCTCTCCTCTTGAGCCTGGGGTCAGTGTTCCCCAAGACAGGCAGGCAACATGAGGTGAGAAATTAAGACCACCTCTGCACTCTGGATGCCCACAGTTGTGTGTATTGTTTGATTTTTTTTTAATGTTTGAATATTTAGCCTGGCCGGTGTTGCTCAGTGGTTGAGCGTTGAACCATGAACCAGGAGGTCACGGGTCGATTCCCAGTCAGGGCACATGCCTGAGTTTTAGGTCGATCCCCAGCAGGGAACGTGCAGGAGGCAGCCGATCGATGGTTCTCATCGTTGATGTTTCTATCTCTCTCTCGCTCTCCCTTCCTCTCTCTGAAATCAATAAAAACATTTTTTTAAAGTGTTTGAATATTTAAATGCAAAAGGTACAAAAGTGTATTTAGAGAAGTCCCCCTCTCAGCCCTGCTCCCCAGAGGCAACCACTATTAGTAGTTTCTTATAACAGATTATTCCAGAAGTAATCGATGACTGTTTACGGCCTTGTTTCACTCCCGGTAGGTGGCAGCCGGGGACAGGGGGCCTTCCAAGCGCTGCCCCCAGCACTGTCTCGCTCGCATCAGTTCCACCCTCCTCTGCTTTCCAGGAGCCCCACCGAATCCATAGCTGGGAAGAAAACTATGTTATGACAACGGCAAAGGCCCAGGAGAAAGTTCGGGACCTCTGATAGTCCTGCCTTCTGTCCTGGAGCTGCTACTCCTACCTCAGGACATGGTTGTGCAGGACAGTGCGGATGCCGAGGATGCCAGGGTGGGCGTGCTCCTGGAGCCCTTCCTGCACCAGGTTGGGGGACACCTGAGTGTGATGAAGTATGACGAGGACACCGTGTGCAAGCCCCTCGTCTCCCAGGAGCAGAGGTTCTACGAATCCCTGCCACTGGCGATGAAGCGGTTCACCCCCCAGTACAAAGGTGAGTGTCGGGATGGCAGATGCGGCTCCGGCCACCACCCTGGGCCAGGCCAGCCTGCTCGCACCCACTGCTTCCCGGAGCACTTGGCGTGTGTGACGGTTGCCATGGAGACGTGCCCCTCTCCTACAGCCTGGTTCACTGTCCTAGTTTCTCTGAACTCTTCACGTCTCCAGGTCTGGAGTATAATAGCACTTGGAGTCCTTCCAAATTAGCTCAAGCCACCGGCTTCGAGGAATTAAGAATGGAATAAAGTGGGGCATGCTGGCCTGTGCTTTGGGAACACGTGGCTGGGTCCTGTGACCATGGCTGGTAAACACAGGACAGGGGGGTGCCTCCTTCACCTCCCTCTGGAGACCCAGGTGGGTAGCAGGAGCCTGGGGCCTAGGACAGGACATGGAGGAGCTGGGACACCTCAGGTTTAGGAAACTATAATTCCTGCCCTCATCCAGGGGCAAAGCCAGGGGCATGGCTTCCTCCCAGGTGGACCTGGGAAATCCGGCACAGAGCGCTTGTTTGGATCTGAGCACAAGGTGGGTTCTGGTGGGGAAGGCTGACTACTTCGGGCTTCCAGGCGGGACCTCCGGGCAGAGCCTCTGGGCAGGGCCTCCAGGCAGGACCTCCTCTATTTGGTCCACACCCAGCCTTCTGTAAATGTGGTTCCCTGGGCTCAGGGCACAACTCTGACAGCCTCAAGCCCACAATGGCATGAGTGCCCAGATAAAAGACCTCCTTTAAAGGATTCAGATGTTGTGACAGCAAGCTTCTGCCCTCTTTGTCCGAGTGTCCCTCCTGAAGGCAACAACAACATCCAAAGAAGTCAGCAGTCAACACTCATTTGCATGGCAATGACTCAGAGACTGGGCCTATCTGCGTAGGCATTTCCCAGTGCAATCTGAGATCAACTAACTGTACCAGAGTCACTGGGGGTGGGGAGAGAGAGAGAGAGAGAGAGAGACATATATACAGTCTTATAATCTTTTTTTTTTTTTTTAAATATATCTTTATTGATTTCAGAGAGAGGAAAGGAGAGGGAGAGAGATAGAAACATCAATGATGAGAGAGTCATTGATCAGCTGCCTCCTGCACACCCCCGACTGTGGATCAAGCCCACACCCCTGGAATGTGCCCTGACCAGGAATCAAACCCTGATCGCCTGGATCCTAGGTCGATGCTCAACCATTGAGCCACGCCCGGCCGGGAGACATATATATATATGCAGGTCCCTGGGCCTGGGAATCAGAATCCCTGGGGTTAGCACCCAGGGATCTATATTCAGCATGCTCCAAATTGAGACCCACTAGTAGGAGGCCAAGGCCCGAGCCCTAGTCATAGCTTCAGTCCCGGCTGCCAGGCCCTCCTGAGAGTCTGAGACAGGACAGGTGGGTATCAGACACTGAGGGATGGAGCATGGCTTGCGTGCAGCCTGGCAGGCCTCCCCTGGAGCCTTCTGGGGCTCCAAGGGTCACTACCCATCTTGTCAGAGCACCCACTGGAATGTATGTCTGTCCTTTCGAACTGAACTCAGCCCAGCAAAGGAGTGACAGGTCCTCGCGTGGGATGGCCTCTGCTAATGGCATTTCACGCTTCTTCGACACAGTTCTGGAGCTGAGACAGACTGCCAGGGCAGGCACGGGGAAGCGGGAGAGTAAGAGAGGTTGCTGCCCTGGCACCTCGTCAGCACAGGCCCATTCCTTCGGGGGTGGAACTGCGCCACCCTTGGGCACCCTCGGGCACTAGTCTACTGTCCAGCCCCCTCCTCTGCCCTGCTTCCCCCTTGCAGTTGGGCCCATCCCCAGATCCAGATGCCTCGGGGCTCTGCTAAGGTGACAGGTTCATTTGAGCCAAGGCTCATAGCTACACACATCACCGGCCACGGGGGATGCTTCAGTCTCTGCTTTGGGCTTCACTCAAGGGATGGTATTTCCAAACATCTACATCAGGGAACCGCAGATGGCCCCTAGGCGAGACCACACAGCCCTGCTGAGGGTGAGGGTGAGGCAGAGCCCCTGGGCTGGGGCAACACCCACATGAGGTTCCAATGACACAGAAACCCTGCCCCACTCACTAGCCACAATCCAGGCCCCACGTAAGGAAACACATGTCTGCAGGCACTAGAATAGGTCCAGAAGGGGACCCCCACTCTCAGACGCCTGGCGCAGGGAGCTGGGGCCAGGTTTTAGTGGGAAAGGGATCTTCAAAGGGCTCTTGGGCTGTGCAGGTGTCTTGTTTCACATGGTAAGCAAAGTCCCATCAGCTAACCCTTACTGTTCCCTCAGAGCCCCAGCCAACCACCTGTAAGTAGTTTGCAGGTCCGAATTCAATCCTCTCAGCAACCCTCTGAGGGGGAACTATTAGAATCCCCATTTCATGGGTGAGGAAACTGAGGCACAGAGAGGTAATCTGACTTGCCTCAGGGCACACAGCCAGTGAGAGGCAGAGCCAGGATTCAAAGCCTTGAGGTCTGACTCCCAAGTGTGGCTTTGGCTCCACCAGCTACTTTTACTGAAGAGATGGACTCCCCAGATGCCAGTGCTCAGGGGGTCATCTAGCCCACTGAGGAAGGGGACATGACCTGCCCAGGAACACTGAGCTAGTGACCTAGGGTCAGGGGCACATGAGTGCCCACAAGGCTACCACAGGGGTCTCTCTTCTTCTAAAGAGCACCAGAGTGAGGGGCTGTTTCCGCAGTGGCCACTGCACACCTCGGTGCACCCTCGCGGTCACTGCCGCACTGCAATGGCCTCAGGGGGCGCTGGGCAGGAACGTCATTCCCAAGCGCAGCCTCCAGGAGCCAGGAGCTCACCCTGGACTTTTTGCTGGGCTCCTCGGGTACGACAGATCGGGGGCTGCGTCCCTCTGCCTCCCAGCCTGCCTGCCAGCTTTGGGTGAGCGAGGACATGCTCCCAGGTCCAGCTGGTTAACGGGTGAGCCAGATTCATATCACAGACAGTGGCGAATAAGTGTTCTCGTGAGCTGAAAAATAAATACGTGACAGAATATTCAGAAGCTAAGGAAGCTGCTCGGCCAAACTGAAACTGCTGAGCTGCTCTGGCAGCCGGGGGTGGCAGTGAGCACTGGTCTGCCCAGTTGGCATGGCCGCGGCAGGTCCAGGTCGAGGTGCGTGGGGAGGGCTCCCGAGCAGGCAGCCGGGGCTCTCGCTGGGTCCCCCACTCTCCAGGCTGGGGCAGCATTCTGGGGCCCGTGGGCCTTTGAGGCCTAGTCCCCATGGACACACAGGGCAAGCTGGAGGCCAGGCCAGGGCAACACGGCTCTTGACGGAAAGAGCGATCCAAGTCCCTAGCAGTCAGGATTCCACCGACACGCTGCTCCTGTGGAGGAGGCAACTCGAGACTGTTTGCAAGGCCCTGTCTGCCCTGGGTCCCATGCTTCAGAGGGAAGGGTTGGGCTGAGCCGGAGAGGGAGGGAGAGGGAGGGAGAGAGAGGAAGGGGGAGGGGGGGAGAGAGAGGGGAAAGCAGGGCATCAGAGGAGCATGGAAGATGGAGCGGGGAGGCAGGGACACCGAGCCTGGCTGCACAGCCCTGACAACGTGAGAAATAGAAATGACTTGGATTTCATTGGTTTGGGGTTATTTGCGCCTCTGCTCGCCTCCATTTACTTAGACACTCAGAACAGATAAGATCAGGCAAGAGCTGGAGCCTGGAGAAGTAGGTGAGGGTCACATGTCTTGTCCCTGGGGCCCAGGCTCCCCAAGACCGTGGTTTCTGGCAAGGTCACCACCACAGCCTCATGAGTGTGAAAGACCTGGGGGCTGCCGGATGGTAACTTGAACTTTACAAGATCCGGAAGGGTCTTGCCCTTGGCCACACACCTTCCTGGGCTCCCCAGGCAGCCAGGAGGCTCTGAGCATCCCAAGGACCATCACGGAGGCCAGCAAGCTCTCCCCCTTCTCACACAAGGAGGGTGGGCTCTGGGGTCTGGCGATAGTTTCCAGGTCAGTGCCCCTCCTTAGAACAAGCACGGTGACCCCCCACCCAAGGACACAGGGCTGGCAATATAAACCCCTGTCCATGGGCTTACTGGTGCTCCCAGCTGCACCAATGACCCTCTCACAGGACAGTGGGGTCACAGCTTCTCTGTTTACTCCATGGAACAGAATGACCAGAACAAACAAGACCACAGACACAGCAGGGTGTCCTCAGACACACATGAGTGAGCAGTTGACAACACACGTCTCCCCTTAAAGCCCTCAGCTCCATGAGACAGCTGTTCCCTCTTCCACATCCAGGTCTGGTGTGGCTTCTCAGAGCACCACACCTGTACAGCCTTGGGCAAGTTATTCAGTCTTTCTGAGCCCCCGTGAGCACGGTCAGCTTGCTATAGCACAGCAATAACGGATGAAAAGAGACAATGCCAGCGCACAGTAGGTGTGAAAGTCATGGCGGTGATGTCACTGTCGCAGTCACTTCCCGGCCTGCAGTCAGCCCTGCTCTCGTGAGCAGGCTGGCTCTGGGGGGCTTGGTCTAAGGCTGCATGCCGTCTCCAGGTGAGCACAGCTGTCAGGTCCAGGCACGGTGTCACCATTAGTGTCATCACTGCCTTACAGGGCACAGGCCTGGGGTGAGCTGAGGAAAAGCAGAGTTTTTTTAGGAGCTGGAGGAAACTAAATGTCACTGTCAGGCTGTAAAACAAGGGCACCGGGAACCTGAGATGACAGGACTGACCCGCAGAGAGCGCTGAGCTAGGCGCAGATGGCTCTGGAGAGCCTGCTGCGTTAGAAGCAGCCCCCAAAGAAGCGTGAGCACCTACGGACCAGGCCCAGAGGGGGAGGGCCGGCAGACGTGGGCAGGAACTCCGCCGCCCCCAGAGCTTGTTCAGCAGAAATTACCACTTATGCTGACAAGGTGACCAAGTGGCCCAGCAGGAAATAGATATCTGAGAGGACAGGTCACATGCAGCCCACCCTGTCAGTCAGGGTCCTGGCAGAGAATGAGAGGTCCATGCAAACGGGTTCAAAGGAAGAGCACTTTTTAAAGGAATCTTTAGCAAAGGGCTAAGGGAACTGGGGGTGGCGAGGCCCAGGGGCCAGCAGCACTGGAACACTGTCACTCCCAGGCCTGGCAAAGTGAGGGTGGCAGAACTGACCTGGCAGGAGAGAGGCCACAGCACTGAGACCTGGTTCTCACAAAACTACATGTGTGGCGGTCTCCTGCGCCATTACCAGGAGCACCGTTCCCTCTTCACCGGCACCCGCTGGCTGCCCAGCCCCAGGGACGGAGGCCTGGGCTCTGTCACCTGAGTGAGGGGCCCAAAGGGGGTGCAGAGCCGTGAACGTGTGACCAGGAGGAAGGGGTCCTGCCTTGACCACAAACACCAACGGTCAGGAGTCCTGGAAGCTGGGGGATCTCACAAGTCCAAAGAACCACATTCCACCAATAACCTTCATGTGCTGTGCATCTGACCTCAGGACAGTGGGCATCCCTGTCAAAGCCAGAGACGGAGGGCAGGGGAGGGCGTGAGCCCCGCAGGCTGCTGAGGAGGCTCAGAAGCTGGTCGGATACAAATGGAGGGGAGAGAAAGGGCTGCAGAGGAGGCAAAGACAAGGGGGGGAATGAGTGGGCCCCACCTCCTTCACTGCCACTCTGGGCGGGGCCCCTTTTTGCAGAGGACCAGCTCTGACTCCCCAAGGTTGGGCCCAGTGGGGTCAGCTGTGGTCTGACTGGGAAGGTGACTGTGCGCAGAACTGGAATGCGAGGACAAAGCGCACAGGCTGGCCTTGTGCAACGCAAGAAGGGGAAGACCAGCGCACAGAGCGGAGGCTGTGCCAAGACCAGCCCCAGGCTGTCTTCCGGGGACCCCGCGGCCCTGGGCTCATTCTGGAGCAGGCTGGGTTCAGGCTAAACCAGGCCTGTCCCCATTGCTCTCTCTTGAGAAAGGAGTTGGGGAAAGGGACGGTTGACCATTGCCATTAAACTGTACTTCAGCAGAATGCCACCCTTCAGCGCATCCGCTCAGGTAAATTCCATCTGGTCCGCCCCCCCCATGTGCTCCGCAGGCACCATCACGGTTCACCTACAGAAAGACAGCCTCGGACACCTCGGCCTGGTTGCCAACCCCCTGGAGGAGAAGGGGGAGTCCTTCCAGGTCTCCACAGGGCCTGCAGCGGTGGCGATGTGGCAGGAGCTTCAGCAGACCGCCAGTGGCAGTGGTGGCGCAGGGCCCCTCTCCCAGTGGCAGCAGGCCCAGCTGGTACGCTCTCTCGAGGAAAGGTGAGGACCACTTGGCAGATGACAGAAGCAGGGAGCTCATCCCTAGCAGGGACCAGCACTGCTCCCACCTGTGCAAGGCCAAGGGCTCCCCGTGAAGGCCAGAGCGGAGAAAATGAGAGCTCCAGATAAAGGCTCTGCCCAGAATGACTAATGCGACAGGGAAAGGAATGCCTCTTCCTGCCTCTTCTAGAGGAAGGACTGTGAGGCATTCATCCCAGGCGCTGATGAACAGGCAGAGCCCCATACAGAGCAGGCCTTCGGCACATATTTAATTAAATACCTGTTTCACTGAGACCATAACGTGTCTCTGGGGGGAGATGTGCAGAGCAGAAACCCCAGAATAGTTGACATGAAGGAAAAGTGTGGCCAATGTATCTCAGAAACCATCTTTCCTTAGCAGCCGAGACTGGATGGGGAGAGGCCAACCCAACACTCAGGGGCCCCAAGGTCCCTGGGGAGGTCTCCAAAACCTCCAATAATGATAATGTCAGCTGACCTTTCTCAGATGAGAAGGAACCCTGGGGGTTTTAAACATTTATGGGAAAACAAAAGAGCTAATACAGTGAAAGTGCCTCCCTTCCCCAAGGAGCGGGTCTAATTAAGCCTCTTGGCTCAGCGTCAGGAAGCTGGGGCCCATTATCTCCATTTCACAGATGGGGAAGCCAAGATGCTGAGGGTAGGAGAGAGGGGGTACCAAGGGTAACGGCCGAAAGCCCCAGCCCTCTGATTCCCTGCGGGGTTGCTGCCCCCACAGTGTGTTGCCTCAATGGTGAGATAATCCAGATCACAGACAAGGGACTTCACACCACCTTAGTCCTCTGAGGGATGACCTGCTCTAATGAGTTAACCTGAGTGTGGTGAGCCCCTGGGAGGGTGCCATGCGGCCAGACCTGGTGCTGGGGATTGATGGGCAGGAAGGGCACTCCGAGGCCCACTGTGCCCTGGAGAGTGGCCAGGGGCAGTCTGTGTCCAAGTCCAGCCCAGGAGAACACAGTCAGCCACAGGGAAGGCCCTTTCTCCAGACCTCTGCCCCCCACCCTAACTGTCCTGTGCTCCCCTTACCTGCAGCCCTGCCACGGCGCTCCTGAGGTCCGAGTTACACTTCAGCACCCAAGTCTCCTGGCTCGTGAAAGATGCTAATGGGAACCAGGCCAAGAGGGGGAGCTTTAACCCATGGGGTCTGCACTGCCACCAGGCCCACCTGACCCGCCTCTGCACCGAGTACCCGGAGAACAAGGGGCACCATATCCTTGCCAATGTCCCTGCTGCACAGTCCGGAAGCAGGAAGGTGCGCCTATAAAGGGGGAAGGGGAGGGCGATGGCCAAGTGAGGGAGGAGAGAGGGAGAGTGGGAGGCAGGAGCCCTCAAACCTAGGACCTAGAAAAAAATCAGTTCTTTCCAAAAGAAAAATCAGAGATTATGTGCGAGCCAGACCTGGAATTAAGAGGAACACAGTGCCCCTGGCAGGCCATGCTGTGTCTCTGCCACCTGCAACAGGGGCAGGGGGCCTCTGCGGACAGATAGGAATGATGACTGCCACACTGGGTGAGGGTGGTAGAGCCTCAGAGGGCTGGGTGGGTCCCCTGCACCTCAGCCTCCTTTCTATAACTCCAAGTTCTCCTCCACAGGGGTCTTCCCACAGAGCTGATGGGGAGAAGAGGGTGTGGCTCCCCCTGAGAGAAGTGCCCACCTTGTGGGCCTTAGGGGAGGCACTCCCCACCCCCACCCCAGGCCACCATGTTCTCAATGAGCAAATTTAGGCTTGAAATGCCCCTTTGTCGCCACCGGGCCCCTTCCTGCAAGCGGGCAGCTGGTTTCACAGTACTTACTAAGACACATCTGCGGCCCTAATCCCTAAGAAGCTTCTGCAGGATAATTACTCCACTGAAATTAATACTCCTGCAACTTGTCTCCGAAGCTAACATCAACCCACTTCCCCCAGAAGGGACTGGCCCATTCGATGGCAGAGGTTTTAGCCTTATGATTCTCTGCCATAAAACGTAAAGTGGGCAAGGCCTGCCAGGGATCTCAGACCTCAGGGCAAAAAGGAAGAAAGCACGCATGCTCATAAATGCCCCTAATAAGTGGACTTCCTAAGCAGCCTGCAGAGCGACCACCTGGATTTCTCACTAGTGGCCTGGCTAGTCCGGAGTGAAGGAGCAGCACCCGGCAGGCCCTGCGCCTGCTTCCCAGGTGTGCTGCCTGCCGGCGGGGGGGCAGCGGCCTCAGCCACCTCGGGAGCTTCCTTAACCTAGCATGACCAGGGTTCCTGCTGCTGGAAAACGTGGTGTCACAGTACAAGCACCCCTGTGTCCTGGACCTGAAGATGGGGACCCGGCAGCATGGGGACGACGCATCCGAGGAGAAGAAGGTCCGCCACATGACCAAGTGTGCGCAGAGCACCTCGGCCTGCCTGGGCGTGCGCATCTGCGGCATGCAGGTGGGTGGCAGAGGGCCCGCCACAGGGCTGGGCACCCGCACATCCACTGTGGGGCAGGATGCCTCCCACCCTGACACCACTGCCCTTGCCGAGCTCCTCGCTTTGGGGGAGCCTCAGAGGAAGGAGCCAGGTGCCCCACTTCCCCCAGGGAAATGCACATCCTGGCCTATGACAAGTTGGGTCTTTTCTTTTTTTAAAATATATCTTTATTGATTTCAGAGAGGGGAAGGGAGAGGGAAAGAGAGAGAGAGAGAAATAGCAATGATGAGAGAGTCATCACTGATCAGCTGCCTCCTGCACACCTCCAACCGGGGATGGAGCCCACAACCCAGGCATGTGCCCTGACCAGGAATCGAACCATGATCTCCTGGATCCTAGGCTGATGCTCAACTGCTCAGCCACGCCCAGCCGGGCAACATGCTGGGTCTTTTAGAGAGCACCTTTCAGGATAGTGTCAAAGCCCCACCATTTTTAACTTGGACTCAGGGTCTTTGGCAATTGATACTTTCCACAGTGGCCATGTGGCCCTGCTCCCCCCCCCACCATGGAGAGAAAAGCTTTGAAGACAGTGTGTGAGCAGCGACTGGGGAAGAACCAAGAGCAGGAGCTTCTCTGTGCCCCGACCGTTCCTCACTCTCTGAGCGATAAAGCTGACCTCCTCCGATGCTGAAAGGCAGTCTGTCTCCCAGGTTTTACTAGACGGTCTCTCTTCTTATGCCACCTTTTCTGCTTCTTGCTACCTGTTCTGGTTAACAAAATGGTAAAGTTACAGCCTGCTAAGCCCAGGCCAAGGAATGGTTAATGTTTTATTGCCCAGATTCCACACTTTATTTTTGCTGCTCTGATGCGGCTTATGGCAGAGGCTGCAGAACAGGAGGAAATAAACTTTCTCTATTGGTTCACTCTTAGAGTCTATCTACTCAAAGCAAAACCAGACACCGATTTGACGTTAAACGTTATAGCTTTCCTTAATTGAAACTGCCACCCCTTGAAGCTGAAAGTTGAGTCTATAAATTTGTTGCACAGATGTCCCCTGAAAGGCTTGGAATGCAGTCCTCAAGAGAATGGAGGTAATGATTTGTGGTGTAAATGGAATCTCTCTGGACCTCGAACCTTCTGAAAGTGATGTGATTTATTTAGAAAGTGACGCCTGTTGTGTATTTACGATGGCTAATTTAGCAGCTGATCTCAAACCCTCCAAAGGCAATACCAAGTCTATCATATCTTTCTGATTTTTTTTGACACTGGTTTTCCATAAACATATCATGTAATCTGAAGGCGGAAAAGGCCTGAGAAACTGTCTTGGCCAGATACTTGCAGCCCTCCCCAGGTGTGCCAGGCACAGGCACGCCAGTCACTCTCTGGCCATGCCAGCTGCTGGCCTCAGTCCAGCCCCTGTCGCTGCTGTGCCATCTGAATGAAGTGAGGGCCGCTGCCACTGTCCCCCATCAGCATCTTTCATCCATCTGCTCCCCTCTGGTGGCCAAGATATGACAGGGGAGGGGAGAGGAACTGGTGCCATGGAGAAGAGCCACCAGCCCCACAGAGCTGCTGTGAACCTCCCTCTGCTACCCAGGCTCCTCTTAGCTGCATGGGCTGTCCCCAAAACTCCACTGACACCTGATCTAGCCAGTCTTTTCTCTTCAAAATATTCACCTCACTCTACCCTGAGCCAGTGTTGTTTCCTTAGAATCTGCAGAGAAAGGACTTTATAAACTTTGTTGGGAAAATTTAATCTAGTTGGCTTTCCAAGGCCATTGGCTGTGATTTCAGATTCCTGCTAAAGCTTTCTAGCTTGGGTTTGCTAATATTTGAGGAGGGCCGGAAGCCAGGGTTTAAATCATGGTTTGGAGGTTGACATTAGAAATTCACAAGAAAGGAGATCCAGCCCTTTTCCTCATGGGTGGAGGGTCACCTCTGTAGCAGTAAGGATCTTTAGAGACCTTGGATTCCTAGTTGAGGCTTGCACAGAGCATTTTATTTTATTTTATTTTTTAATGTTTTTATTGATATCAGAGAGAGGAAGGGAGAGAAAGAGAGATAGAAACATCAATGATGAGAGAATCATTGATCGGCTGCCTCCTGCACGCCCCCTGCTGGGGATTGAGCCCACAACCTGGGCATGTGCCCTGACTGGGAATCAAACCCTGACCTCCTGGTTCATAGGTCAACGCTCAACCACTGAGCCATGCCAGCCGGGCTGCACGGAGCATTTTAGATGTAAACTAAGGGTGCATGGAGGAAGCTCAGCGTTTTGCTCGTTCCAGCCATGCCTGCCCAGCATCCCCTGGAACTGTTTGTATGTCTGGTTAGCCTGTGATGCCACAGCTGTGGCAGGTGCAATTTTTCGTTTGTGATTCTTCGCATTTTCTCTTTCTTCTCCTTAACATAAGGTTTATCAAAGTGATAAGAAGCACTTTCTCTGCAAAGACAAGTACTATGGAAGAAAACTCTCCGTCGAGGGGTTCAGACAAGCCCTCTATCAGTTTCTGCACGACGGAACCCGCCTCCGGACAGAGTTGCTGGGCCCTATCCAGCGCCAGCTCCAGGCCCTTCTCTCGGTCATCAAGAGCCAGAGTTCATACCGCTTCTACTCCAGCTCTCTCCTTGTCATCTACGATGGGCAGGAGCCGCTGGAAAGAGCCCCGGGCAGCCTGCACCCTCAGGAGGCTCCGCAGACGGCACCCCGCAGCTGTCCCGGAGGTCTCCCCAAAGTTGACATCCGGATGATCGACTTCGCTCACACGACATACAAGGGCTCCTGGAATGAGCACAGCACCTACAACGGACCAGACCCAGGCTACATTTTCGGCCTGGAAAACCTTATCCACGTCCTGCAGGACATCCAGGAGGGACAGTGAGACTTGTCATGAGACATGTCGGCTACTCAGAGTTTTCTGGAGTATAGATCTCAGAAGGAACCTATTGGTAGCGAGGGTAATTTAGATACCCCTTAGATGTCTTTGTAATAGTCATATCTATGTTCAAAAGCCATCACTATCAATGGCAGGCTATGCCAAGAGCTGCTAGAGAAATCAGCTCTGCAGATAACTCATGGCTGGCGTCTCGTGCTAATCTGGCACCGCAGCCTGGCCATTGGGGTGAAATGGCGGCACCTTGGGGTAGACTGTGGGGTGCATGAGTTAGAGGCAGCATTACAGGGAGACCCTGCAGTGTTTGCATTAAAAATGCTTTCTTGTCACTCTGCAATCCTTGCAAGCTATGAGGCAAAAACTTATTTAAAGAACTCTTGAAGAGCAAGTCCACGAGTTCACGGGTTCTGCCTGCATGTGCAGCTGCTCAGGGCAGGGCAGACAAAAGTAGCAACGCCCTTACCTTCCTAAGAGGCACTGTAGGTGGCACAGGATGAAGTGGGACAGATGTGCCATCTCACCAGCTTTGTACCCAGGTTCTGCATAGACAAGGATAACCCCAGACATGTCGCTGGCAAACCAACACCCAGGTGCTCCATTTTTGCCTGTGGAGAGAAAGATGTCTTTTCAGACTTCAAGTATTTACTGGAAGCAATGGTTCTGCCAGAATCTGACCACGAAATGCAGCTTCCAGTGGAGGTGGAATGCATATGAGGAGGAGCCACTGATGTTAAACTACATTCTCAGCTTTCTATTTATTTATTGGGAGGAGGGGGGTCAGAAATGAGGAGCCTGGAGGACTGAGGAAACCAGGCACAATGTTTACAAGACCGGTGGACAAGTATAAATCCGGAACAAAGAGCAAACGGTCCTAATTAATTCCTTCTTCTGCAGTGTGGAAACCTATTACAATGCCCTGGAGTCAAGCACTGAGATTCGTTACCCAATTAGGGAAATATATTTGTTAATAAAATTGCTGAGGTCACCAGTGATTATTTGGTGTGCCTTATTACCCTTTCTGTTTATTTATTCTGATCATCACACTCCACGCAAGCTCCAATTTATGGGTGACTAGAGTATACCGCAAAGAACAGTTCACCGATTTCCCGCAACCCTTTGGGGAACCCAGTGGGAAATGGTGGCTAATGAAGTATTGGCATGTACAGTGTCTACCAGGCAGGCACCAGGCCTAAGAAGCAAGTCCTTTCATGTGAACCTTATACAAGCACAATTAAATAATTTCTGGATTCTCACGGCTAATTAGCTCAACTTTCCAAAACCCACACTATGAGAAGGAAAGAGCAGCCTGGATAACAAAAAACTTTTAATTTTGTGATACATTGTGTGGATTTCAAAGCAAGTTAACTTCCCTAATTATGTTTGGCTGAGGTAATGACACAATTTGCATGCTCGGCCCATGGTGGGAGAGCTAAGGCAAAGCTGTTGGGTGGCAAAAGGAAGTCAGCCAACAACTAAATATTTGCTGATGACAAAATGGAGCCCTAAATATTGCTTTTTCTGAGCCACTTTCCTGCTTGAGCACCTGGTCCCACATTAACCAAGACCAAAGCCTCCTGGCACAGCTCCTGATTCCTCTGCCACCAGCAGCCCTGGGTGTTGTGGGACTTGCCTGAGGACAAGGTGGGAAGGATCAGCTAGAACCTAAGTCTTTTCAGTCTGGCTCCCCACATCACTAACTGTGGATAACATCACATGTCCACTCTCAGAGCTGGCTCCTGATTCCTGCCCACATGATGCCCCCTCCTGGCTACTCCTTTACCCCACAGTGCCCTTCCTGTGTGGCCTTCCTCCTCTGTAACTCACTCAAGGCCCAGCCCAAATTCCCATCTCCTCCTGAAAAGGTCCCCAACAAAAGTGCAGTTTGTTGCAAGCAACAAAGCTGGATCCTGGTTTTAGACCATTTTTACTGGAATGCAGGACTCAGAGGGGTCACCATGGTCTGGAAACTTGGATAAGTTTTGCAGATGCAGTAATTCAGCCGAATGAGTCCACCCAATTACTACAAATCTGGCCTGAGGGAAAAGAACAGAAAGGTATGGGAAAAAAAGATGGTGGGTGTATATGTATTTGACCTCCAGTCTCAGTTTACTTAAAAATGACAAAGAGATGCGAGAGCCCAGATATCCAGTCATCAGCAAGTGTCCTTGTACTGAACAGCTATTCCCTGCTGATCTCTGCTCAGCACTGTGGGACACGCAGCTCTTGGGAGACTGAGTTCTCGTTGAGGAGGCAAGAATCACACATGTGAACTGATAACAAACCACACAAGACAGTACTCAGCAGAAAGGATGGATCTGTGTGGTGCAGACGAACAATCCTAGAATTTTAAGTTGAAGATGTACATTGAGAGCAGAGTTGTCACAGAAACTGTTGGAGGAGGCAAGACTTCATCTGGACCCTGAAGGGTGACGGGTGGGGAAGGGGCTGGGGGATTGGTGGGAGGTGGGGAGTGGAGGGAAGGAAAAGCCTAGCATGTTCATGGGTCTGTGGACAGATCAGCCCAATCGGAACAGAGTTTTTGTGGTTGGGAGTAGCAGAAATGAAGAGATAGAAAATGGAGTGAACCCAATAATGGAGACACTTAAAAATCTGGCCAAGTAGCTCATTTGTTTGTGATTTCAGTAATCTGTCCCTTCCTTCCTTCCTTCCTTCCTTCCTTCCTTCCTTCCTTCCTTCCTTCCTTCCATCCATCCATCCATCCATCCAACAAACATCTTCTGAGTGCCTGGTACACAAACACAGTGCTAGGGCCTGTGTAGGAAACAAGAAAGTGTGAGGATCAAGATGTTACCCTTAAGCAACTTAAGACTTAATGAGAGTGCCAAGACCCTCATGTAAAAATATCATGGGTGCTTGCTTCCACAGGGTGTGGGAGCTGTCTGCTTAGCTGTGCAGAGTGCTACTAGGAGAGCAGAGGCAGAGGGAGCTCACTGCCATATGGGGTGATCATAGAGGTGATGTCTGAGCTGTACCACAAAAGGGAGACAAGTCTGAAAGGTAAAAAAGAAAAGCAGGTGTTCTAGGAGACGGATTTACAAGCACGGGAATGGGGACTCCAACATTCTGTTCAGGGATGTGGTCTGTATTGGCCATAGGAGGTTGATGTACAGGGGCACCAAGAGAGAGTAAGATTGAAATGGAGAAACCCAGAACATGAGAGTAGGGAGGACCTCAGAACCTTCCACCTCTATAGCTCCCGCTTGCCTGGAACACCTAAGTCTCCTGGATGGCCTCCCTTACCCAAACTGGGGAGCTCTCTTCTTTTTTGAACTGAAAAACACACAGGTATTAGGGTAGGCTGTTATAACAAATAATCCCTAAATATCAGTAGCTTAATATTACAATCCAATGTAGTTGGCAGAGAGTTTCTGCTCCACACAGTCATGCAGGACCCAGGCTCCTTCCTTCCTATGGCACCACCATCTACACCCACAAGGCCTAAAAGTTACACAGCATGGAGAAGGCACACCTACATTCCATGGGCAAGAACCAGTCATGTGGCCTTACCTGGATGCCAAGGGGCTGCAATGTAGTTTAACTGTGTGCCTAGGAAGAGAAAGTGGGTTTGATGAGAACCCAGCCTCTACCATAACCTCTTTCTCCATATCCCTCATGTTAAAGTGATACCTGACTTAAGAAGGGAAAAACAGAGACATAAAGGGCAAGTGGGGGGCAGGAGGGAGCAGCAGGGGCCTGGCAGTACCAGAGCAACAGATTCTGATCCAGACCCTTTCCCTGGCCATGTCCTCATACACTGAGTGTGCGCAGGGTGCTGGTAGATTTACTTAGCATCTCCCCTAACTCAGTTTCCTTATCTGTCCCACAGGAACTCTAATTTGATCCTCAAGACAGGTGATGTGGGGTACAGGGCAGCCTGGGAGATGGTCGCCCAGCCCCACCTCTGTCCCTCTGGTGTCTCCTGTGCGATTGAAGAGGAAGCTAAAGAACAGAATGTTGTTGTAGTTTCTCCATAATGCAATGTCATCAGGAAGCCCTGGGCCTCTGGGCAGCACCCTGGCAGCCCCATCACTCTTCCCAGCTGCATGGAGCCTTTTAGACCATGCTGGAAAGGGCAGGAAGCAGTCTAATAAAACAAACAGCAAGGCAAGACCACTCATCAGCAGCTCTTCAACATCATCTAAACTTCTGACTTTTGATTTAAATCTGCATCCTCTGCGGCCAAAAACATAAAACACAAGATGAGGGAAAGATCTAAAATGAAAGCGTGGGTGCCAAGAATTAGAAGGGAAGGAGGGAGGGA